TCTCCTGGGACTTCTCTCAGCTTTAGCCCGAGCGCCTGGAGCTGATTGGAGAAGCTGACATACTCTGCTCCTTCGTCGTTATCCTGAGGGCGGTTCTTCCGATCTTTTGCGATGGCACGGCGAGCTGCTCGTTCATCCCTCTTGCGCTCCAGTTCACCCTTTTTATTGCTCCTCACAGGTTTTGCTGTCTGTTTCCGAGACATATTTCTTCTAATCGTTTCTTCGTGCCTGGAGCACCAAATAATGTCCTGTTTTGGCAACTAGATGGCACTTCATTAAATAATTCCAGTCTTGTGCAACCTAAAAACACAGAAAGAGGGGTAGGGAAATGAAACTGATAAGTGAAGATGGATACATGTTGCTACAAAGCAAGAATAGATATTATACATGTCTATTGAAATAATACAATGTGGAGGTGTCATAATGGTATGCAAGCTTTTACCAAAGATCTCCCACTTAACTATTCCGATTTTCCTATTTTTCTTTTTCTTTCTACTGAAAGAAAAATAAATAGTGTTGAAAATACGTATTCAGTCTGAAGTGCAAAATAAAATATGTAGAAATTATTTTAATAGGCACCAGCTGGTATGACATTATATTAGCAAGATACTGACCTTGAGTAAAAATGCAAGGTGCCATAGTATTTATACAAAACTGTTTAAACCTGAGCTAATTAATATGGATTAACCCCCCCCCACCCCCCCAAATGATAGAAACTCAATAATTATTTCTACTGCAACTAAGGCATAAAATATTAAAGTTATAACAATGTTATCTAAAATATGCATTTATAGTGATTTTCGAACATAGACACAAGCAAAATACAGAACTAACACCCGTAATATAAAGTGCAACTTATTCAAATCCCATATAGATTGAAACTGATAAATAATCTGAGCCTATCTGTAAAACAACTTTGAAAATGGTTTGCTTAGGACACCAACAGATTTAAACTAAAAAAAAAAAAAAAAATAATAGTATGAATTTTTCTTACGTCAAAATACATTTTTAATTTTATGTAGGCATTTTCTTTTCCTTTGTAAATCAGAAAAATTAAACAATTCCAACCTGATACTGTTCTTAAAGAGCCTCATTTACTTAATCATGTAACTGTAGTGTTCATTTAAAAAAAAAAAAAACTTTTTGTTTTTTTAAAACAAGATACTAATAACTTGCAGTTTTTTTGTCAGTCCAACTAAATTACCACTTTTGTTTAATGGAGGAATTATTAACTTAAGGAAAACGAAAGTGCTTCCAGATCTTTGTCGTAAGGTTTTTCCAAATGAAACACAATAAGAAATAAATGGCATTTAAACAGAAACCAAAATATGAATTCACTTTTAAATTAAAAATGTTCAGTAATTCGTTAGCATTCTGACTCTGTATAGTTTCCTTGTTCTGTTAAAAAGTGTTGTGAGCTACATTTTAAAAAACAATAACAAATAATTAGATGGTGAAAGAAGTGGTATTTTATGGTATACTTTTTCAGTTAATATGGCTTTAAATGTGTGGCCTGCGTGGTTTCTTACCTTTTTTTAGGCAAAGGCCTATTACTTTAGCTTTTTTTTATTAATAAATAAAAACTAAAGTAACAGCCCGGTTATTTCATTTTTATGTGCATAAAACTGCTCGGCAGAATTCAAATTAATATGTAAAACGCACAAACTACTCAAAGAACTCGGGTGTTAGCTGTTGTCAAATGGTTAAACGGAACTTAATTTTTACTGTTAGCTGAAATGACAACTAGCCGAAGCTAAATGGAGAAAATAACCGATGTAGTACATCAATTTTTAACTACCCGCTTTCGACACTCCGTCTGCCGAGTCGTAATATATCTTAACTCAAACAATCTTACCTGACATATGCGGAAAATTATGAGTTTTCTCTATATTTATACATGTTTTGGTTCAGACAAAAACATTTCGCGTCTACGTATTTGTTTACAACAGAAGTTCCGCTTACGTATTTGTAGGTACGTCAGTACGTACGGAAGCCATAAGGGGCCAAAGACGAATTAAAACCGCGCCACACTGTCGAAACAGTCATAAAAAATATCTATCTATCTATCTATCTATCTATCTATCTATCTATCTATCTATCTATCTATCTATCTATCTATCTATCTATCTATCTATCTATCTATCTATCCATAACAAACAACTGTGGCTCATTACAAAGTAAGAGTCTGTATCAGATCTGTAAGAAATCTTGCCTCTGAATAACATCCACCTTCTGCCAGTCTTGTAGATCCAGTCACCCTCAACTCTTTGAGATGACACCACACAGTTGGTGAAAATGACGTGGGGGTGGAAACTGCACCACAGAGTGAGTACAATTTTATTCACAGTGACTATCTGACAAACTATTGATCAAACCAAAAACATAAAGAAATGTACTTTTCTTTGTTATATATTCCTTTTGTGCATTTATTCCAACCAGCTGTGCAGGTTTGGATTAAGTCTAGTGAGTTGTTGGCTTTGTCTTGGCAGATGTACACTGGCCTGAAGGTTACATTTGTGCATGAGCAGCACTCTCACCACAGAGGAACAGTCAGCCAAGGGTGACTGAAAGGCAGAATTTTATCTGAAAGCAGACATACTCACCATAGCATGTGTTTTGCTCATGTGTGCATAGACGAGTACTGATATTCTACTTTAGTTGGACTTTCAGTGCTTGACAAATTACTGATTCCCATTGACATTTTTCTGCACTTTTTTTATTTTTATTTTTTTTTTTTACATTTTTTTTGTTGTTGCAACCATAAACATTTATGCATTTTATTTATATTTTATGTAAATGACAAACAATGAGGAAGAAAAGTAAGTACATTTTATTTATATAGCACCTTTCACAGGTCAGAAAACCTCAAAGCTTTTTAGGGGGGCAACATGGGGCGACAGTGTTAGGAGTTTGCCCTGCAATTGGCGGTTTGCTGGTTTGTGCAACCCCGCTCCATCCTTCTTTGTTGTTGTGTCCTTGGGCAAAACACTTCACCTACCTTGCTTGCTGTCAGACTCCCCCCCCAAGGCACCTGTGGGTGCTATCTGTATCCAGTAGCTTGCCAAGACTACTGTGTGAAGTGTTTTGGGGTCTTATGGACTACATAAGTACAAAGCTATCTACCATTTACAATAGAAAAACAAACATAAAAGATCTTTACCTAAAAAAATGTACAAAACCAAAAATTATTTTCCTTTTTGTTTCTGAATTTTACAGAATCAAATAAATTGAAAACACTTAAAATATGTTGAGGCATGAAGAATAAAAATAACTTTCCGAGGCATTGTATATATTCATGCAAAACAATTAAAAACGTCTCATTAAATATTAAATCTTGAGGAGGAAATTATCAGCCAAGTCTTTTTATCGTTGGAAAATAACAAATACATTGTATCTAAACAATAAAATTTTACTAGAAAACAAAATTCATTTGCTTGCTGAAGAAAATGATGGGACATTAGCCACCAGGAAAGTGGAGTTACATTGGTAATGTCTCAGGAAGTCTTGCATGTACAGTATCGATATCAGCCAATGCCTTTTGAGTGAGATCAAGATTTGGGCTTTGACTCCATTTCAGTTGGTCCACTTTTATGCGATAGTTCAGTGTCCTTCAATCTGAAGGATCCAGTACTGCTTTAGCTTTATTTAGTTATTTATTTTACAAATAATCTCACATTTTCCACATAGGCACACTTTGAAAAAAACTGAAAATGTTCATTACCACCACCATCTGGTCTGGAGCTCATTCTGTTCACTAATAGTTCTTATATCATACATCTGAAAATGGATGGGGTAAAGACAGCTTCTGTGTTTTAGTTAAAAAAAAACTGAAAACAAACAACAGGTCATATTTGGAGAGATGTAAAACTGAAGATACCTGCTACATTTAGTGTTAAGGACAAGTATTGTTTTTGTTGTAGCATCTCTGTAACTAAACTGTCAATGTTTGATATTTTGAGACATGAACACATTATTTACTTTGTTAAACAACATTACATCAAGTTCCACTATAAGGATTGTAATTTTTTTTATTCTTTGTCATTTTAACAAAATAGTAAAAGATTATTAAGTCACCTAAAATAGCCTAAGCCAGTGGTTCCCAAACTTTTTCTTCTGTACCCCCCCAGTGGTTTCCAAACATTTTCTGCGCCCCGCTATGGATTACAAATGGCTGTCTGGTTGAAACGATGCGAGTGGGAGGGAGGGGGGCGCATCGACTTTTTTTGGGGGCAAAATGAATGTACGTAGCTGAAAATAGACACCAACATCGGTAGCCTACAAGGTACTTGTTAAGCTTAAGGTTCCGTATTGATGTTAGCTAGTCATTTTTAGCTAACATTACCTGCATCCAACAGCTTTACTCAACTCAGTCGGTTAGTTTGGAGGGAAAAACTGTGAAAAGTTCTTTGCGCCCCACAGTTTGGGAACCTCTGGCCTAAGGTATACACTGAGATGTAATTTAAAACACACTGAAATTTCAGTTTATTTAATAGTTTACTTTTCAAGTAAGCTTTAAGTGAATTTTAAAAGATTCTATTTTGAGCATATATTTTAAAATATACACAAAATTTCTTTAAAAGCATATTGTTTCATTGGTACACTTGAACAAATACATATTTTGTTCACTTAAAGTATACTTTTATTTAATATATTTCTTAAAAGTGTATTGTGGCACAATTATATTTATGTGTGTTTAAAGTTATAATGTCAAAATTGGTACAAGCACGCTGTTAGTATACCTTGTATATATTTATATGTACACTTAATACTTAGTATACTTAAAATGTACATACGCAAATGTAAGTTTGTTTGAAATATACTAACATATATATTTCTTTCCACTAGGGTGATTTGGTGATTTCCACCAAATCACCACCAGTTTGTTATAAACCTTCCTGAATATATATTGTACATGCATAAAAATGCGTTGGCAGGGAACCAAAAGTGGCTCTAGCCCATAGGGGCCCCCAAATCTCCTAAATCCGGCCCTGCACAGGCCTGTAGAGACAGCTTGCAGTTCCACCTCTTCTCTCCTTTTCTCTCCTCTCCTCTCTTCACTTCTCAGCTCCCCTCCCTCTAACCGCCCACTGTACACACTATCGCGCTCGCGCGCACACGCACAGGCAGTGGAAGTGGGTGCTCGTGTAGCTGCTGGAAGCCAGGATGGGATAATCATGCGCGTCTGGCTCCGGGCGTTGATGCAGTTGCCGATGCTGGATAGGAACTGGTCTCGGGGCGCAGGGTGGGTCTAGGTGCAGGCCACGGTGCTGCTTGGACCGCGTCTAGATGTTTATCAGGCCAATCCGAGGAAGACTGTAGGGCGATGGCCGCGAGAGGTGTTGGTGCTGCAGCTCTTTGAAACGTTCTCGCCTGATGGAGGACGGGACTCACCGGCACTGAAGCGCAGAGCGGGGTCTGGAGGAACTTGGGGAGGGGGGAAGGGGGAGAGGGGACCGAGGCATCCCCCTCTTAGAGGATACAAAAACAAAAAACAGACGCATTTCATGATTTTTCTTTGAGTGATGTTAATTTGAACGTTGGAATAGAGGTGGACGGGGAGGGGGAGAAACGGAGCTAGAGCAGTGGATTCCTTTCGAATCGGCAATTAAGGAGCGGACAGCCTCTGTGGAGCCGCATCCGTCCATCCGTCCGACCGACCGACCGACCGGGGTGGTGGTGGTGGTGGGGGACCTTACTTGGATGGAGAGAGGGTGCAGTCAAGGCTGAGAGAGAACGGCTCGCCGTGTGTAGGAGGAGGAGGAGACGGAGGGAAAACCGGGCAGTTTGAAGGGACGGGGAGCCAGGAGCGGCGCGGCGGCTCCATGAGCGGCTCCTGCCGGGAGAGAGCGCCCACAGCCCAGCCGGAGCGTCTCCACTGCCGCGGGTAGAAGCCCGGGCTCCAAGACGGCGGTCAGTTTTGGAAGTTTTGATGCATATGATCACAACCACCATGATTTTTATGATTCTTGGTGCTTCAGTTGTAATGGTAAGACATTCTCACCTCCCTCAGATGCAATGTGATTTCTTTTTTCCCCCTAATTACCACACAGAGGCTATATGACGCCAAATATTTTTTTTAATTTAACTTATATGAATATGATACATTTTTGAGACACCCTATCAGTGTGGCATGTGGAAGTAGGTAAGCCTAGCTATAATTAGCCTACCTGCTGTCATAAATAAATCAGTCGGTTTTCAAGCAACAGTCTCCCTCTCTTAGAAACGAGTGAGAGAGAAAGAGAGAGAGAGAGAGAGAGAGAGAAAAATATCTGCCATTTTCCTCCTTCTGGTTGTAATTCCTATTCTTTCTGAAAACCCTTCGCTGTGTGTGGTGATAGTTTAGCACCGTTGCTCGACATGTCCCAGCTGACTGGCATGGTTCTTTGCAGGCGATAGCCTGTTTAATGGACATGAACGCACTACTGGATCGCTTTCACAACTACATCCTACCGCATCTAAGAGGGGAGGACCGCGTCTGTCACTGCAACTGTGGAAGGTAAATACCAGAATCCTCCACAATATGTGGCATAAATATGCTGTGCTGTGTTCCTCTCTGTCTTCCCCTCATCTCCCCCGGCACACCACCACCACCACCACCCGTCAATTCTTAATTGCCGAAGAGGCCTGGAAGATTTGAAGCGGTGAAACCCCGCAAAGCCACCCTGATAGGCTGCTGTCCTGTTTGCGCTCTTATAGCCGCGGTTTCCGCTGAGGTCCTGATATTTTTCTTGCATAAAGCCCGATCTCGCTGGTATTTTTATTTTTTATTTTGCCGTATATAGTGGCTGACTGTAAGGCTTTGCTGCATGCAGGAAGGCGTGTGTGTGTGTGTGCGTGTGTGCAGGTCCCATAAATAGGTAATGAACTATGAGCGACAGTAGGCCGTTTAAAACAATCTGAGCATCAAATGCGTTGTGCGGTACAACAGCTCTCACATTCACCGTGCCACCGACAATATTAGACATGCCAGACGATTTATCGACCACAGTTCAAACCAGATATTTGCATTCACTGTTTAATGGGTTTTTCCCCCCGTCTTTAATTCAGAAAAAACAAAACAATTTCATGTGTTGAATACCAAAAAGTATTTCTAAATCATTTGCTAAATCACAGCGATTATTGTCAGTATTTATTTTATTTATTTATTTATTTTAATGTTTTAGAAATCAGAGGTTGGCACAATAAGATCAGAATGAACAGATGATGATGTCATGGCTTTTTGGAAGCTTTTGAGTCAGGTGGAGTCACACCTGCGAGTGGACCCCAACTGTTGTCCTTATTTGTGTGACATCATGAGGAAAACAAGCCAAGAAATCAGGAAGAGAGTATGAGCTCCACAGGTCTAGTTCATCCTTGCGTTAACTTTCCACATCTTCATCTGTTTAAGAAAGAAAAACAAAACAACAACTATGGGATACTGGATCTGTGTCCCAGACAAATTTAAGTTAGGAAATATGCCCCCACGCCCTCCCAAAAGCAAAAGATCCAGTGAAATAAACCCTGTACCAACACAGACTGAAATCAGTCCAATCATTGAGGATGAAGCAATTACTCATTAGCAAAGAGACTCAGACATTTAGAACTTAATTTCTGGCAGGTCAGACATATCTAGGCCTGTTGCAATAATCAATAAATTGCATGATAAATTTAAACAAGCTTAATAATTTCCATTTGCATGATTTAGTGTTTTTTTTTTTCCTTTCTCTTTCTACCAAAAATTGGATGACAAAAGTCTTCAGTCTGGCGCTTTTTTTCGTAACTAGCCCTTTCTGTGAAGGTCAGTTTTGTTTACAGAGACTTCAGAATTCGTTTGTTTCTGTTGTGTTGTTTATTTATTTGAAATATTTAAAATACCATCCGATTCCAGTGCTAAATGTTCATTAGAATTTAAAGTTTCTTGATCTATGAATGTGTTCTTGCATTGTTACGTCACTAGCATTATGTTACTTGAAAACGGTCTCAAAACAACAATATTATCAGTTATCTCAATTCTGCATTCCTCTAATTGGCCTCACCTGGTTTCCATCACACAAACGACACCTCCAGTGCACTTTGTTTAATTTATCTGGTAATCATGTTTCACAGGTTGTTGTCATTCTACCTTTGCTAGCTCTTTGGTTTTAACTTACTCTGGAGATCCTGTCTGTCTTAGAGTCTGTTTTAACCAAACTGTTATTGGCTTAGTTACTAAGTGACTTCAGGACAAGAAAGTTTTAGGTTCGTTATCAAAAACCCTTATCTCAGTCCCATAGAAATGTTGTAGTCACTTAGTCAGAAAGGATCAAATTGTCAGCAAACTGTTGCAGCAAACCTATAGAGCAATAAACTAAATATTCTGCTTTTAATTGAAATATTTACTTTGGAGAAATAAATAGTTAATTTGAAAATTCAGTGTTTAGTTTCTAATTTAAATATTTAATTTGGAACTTTATATTTAGCTCAGACTTAAACATTTAGTTGGGAAAATAAATATTTAGCTTCCTAACTAAATACTTAATTTGAAAGCTTAATGTTTAATTTTAAGCTGAATATTTATGTGGTGAATTAAATACTTAGTTTGGAACTCTGAAATGTATAAATATATGAATAACATGGTGAAAATGTGACTTTGAAAAATCAAATTTTTTTCTCTATAACGGGCTAAATAAACTAATTATTCACTGCATAACGTTACCAATCTCTCCCAGCGTACTGGTGAGAAGGTCTTTCATTATCCTGGCATTTAAGCAAATAGAAATGACTTCTGTAAGTCTAACTGACTTAAAACAAGAAAAAATGTGTCTGATTTCTTGTTAGAGAGTGAGAAAAAATATCTTTGTTGTTTTAAACAGTCTGTAAATATCTGGTTGTAGCTGAATGTGTGTGTGTGTGTGTGTGTGTGTGTACAGACTGCTGATGGCTGACCAGGCAACTTGATGTTTGCTCTCACGGATAGAGCTTGTTCTAAGTGTGGGAAAACATCAGCAAGACAAACATTATTAATATACAAAAATGGTTTTAACTAGCATGAATGGACTTTCTCTGAACTGTTTCTAAGCAAAGGAAAAAACAAATTGGCTTCAGGGCTCATTCTGCACCAGCACATGATGTTAACATTGGTTAAAAACTTTAAAGACAAAATCCAAAAAGATGCAGATTTTTTTTTTTTTTTGCTGACCGGTTCACACTGGACCACTAGGACAAGATTACCAATAAAGCCAAACAGCAGTGTGGGGGCTAATGTGTTAGCAATTCATTGGCAACATTAAGAGTTGCCGATAGTCAGATCAGAGCAATTTTCTCCGTAAAGAATAGATGGAGTTAAGACAGACACTTATCTGAGTTATGAATACGCAATGCTTTGCAAAAACCACAATGCATTTTATTTGGATGTTATGTTAACATAATTATGAAGCGTAAGCAAACTGTGAATGTTCTAAAAAGAGAGAACATTGATGTGCATTTGTGGCCAGCCTCCTTTATTCTATTGCCCATAAATACAATCCAGTGCAACTGTTTGGCTCCAGAAGACACCTAATTAGCAAAAGCGAGTCTACCTGTGTGTAATTGAACCTCAGTATAAATCCAGCTGTCTTGAGCTGGCCCAAGAGGTTTGTTAGAGAACATTAGTGAGCAAACTGCTTCATAAAGGTCACAGGAAGCAGCAGACAGCTCAGGGAGAACCTTCTGCAGAAGCCGGGTTAGTTTATGAAGCAATAAGCTTTCATCCCCTCACATAGTTCAGTTCACGGAACAGAGCTATGTGAGAGAAAGGTTAGCTGCACACCTACAGGCCAGGTGAGGGGAGCATTAATCAGGAAACCAGCTAAGATGCCTATAATCTGAAACCTGCTGGTGGCAGCATTGTGCTGTGGGGAAGCACAGGGAAGCTGTTGAGCAGCAGAAGAAAAACTACAAGCATTCAGCCAGAACTACAATGCTACATCAAAGCTTACTCATGTGCTAGAACGACCTTGTTGAAGCCCAGACTTTTATCCAAATGAGAATCTATGGAAAATACTTTTAGCAGTAGTAATAAGTTATATTTAATAATATTAGTTCTAATAAAAATAAATGATAAATTAATACTAATATTTAATTTCTCTTTGGGGTCAAAAAAGTGTGTTTGAATTTAATTGAAAGGCTCTCCATTCATCTTTTGGGGGTTGGATTGATTACTACTGCACACCACAGTCTTTAGACTTTTTGTTTGTATATATCTTTGGCAGTCTCGTATTATATTCTTGTCACTGCTTTTTGGACCATCACAAAATTCAAATAAACAGTTTTTATTTGACATGTGAAAAATGAGGGAGGTAGGAATACTTTTGCAAGGCAATACAAATCTAAATTTATGAAAATGGCTTGAGAGTAATCATAATTCATAATTGACTGTCGTACTTTGCATTCAAACTGCCCTGCCCACTGCTGGTAACGAGCTCTGAGAATCAGTGGTGAGCAACAGTTGTCAGGGAAGCGATACCTCAAATTATTTTTATTCAAGTAAAATCAAAAAGTAGTCATCTGAGAAACAACTCAAGTATTTGGTAAAATGGCCACTCAAATACTCAGAAACTGATCAAACGTTACTCAAGTAAATGTGACAGGGTAAATACTTCCCAGCTCTGCTGATGACGTATAAAAGTAAAGCAGTACATCGCCATGTTCTTGGACAGCATGCTCAGTCCAACCTAAGTAAGAGTCAAACCTCTTAGTGCTCAGGTTACTGTAACCACACCTTGTCTTCTGCTGATCCGGAAACCCCCCTGAACCAGAGCCAGTCGTCCGCTCTCACACAAACAGCAGAAACCTTCGATACGTGAGTGGAGAGGAAGAGAGGTGGAAAGCTCTGGCTCCGCCTCCCTGCCTGCCCGCCCTTCCATGAAACGTGGAGGTGCCAGGACGGCCGACGGCGTTCACCTTAGTGCCGTCGAGGACACAGCTTTATGTGTCAGCTCGTTTGGCTTTGTCCGTATTCTGATTTGGACGCCGTATGGATGAACCCTTTCGGGTAGATTGGAGCTTGAAGAGCAGCAGCTGCCTTTGTGGCTGGAACGTTGGAGTGGGTGGAGATTTAATCATAAGCTACACAAGAGGCAGGTGAAACAAATACAGTTAATAAAGAATCAGATAATTACAAATTTTGGTTGATTTGAAAAGAAAGAAAAAGAAAAAAAGGTTTACATATAGTTCAGCCTTATTTTCAGGAAACTCCACACTCTAAAAGTGTATTTGGACTTATTTACATTAATCTCACTTAATTCTTTTTGGTGTAGTGATGACAACTTACTTTGACTTTACTTGAAGCAATTAAGTTCAATTCCCCGTTCGCATCCTACGTCTGACGTCATGATGCAAGCTTCACCAGGGACAGAACCGGTACCGACCGGGCTGCTGTGGTGGTTCTGGGGTAGAACACAACCCATGTGAGGAGACCTCAGTCCTTGACGCGGCCGTGGCAGGTTCGATTCCTGGCCTGATGACCTTTGCCGCATGCCTCCCCCCTCTTCCATTATCCACTTTCCCTTCTAACTACTCTCAAATGAAGGCTGCCTGAGCAGAAAAAAGGCCCTTTCTTAGTTTACGGCTTTATTTGAAGTAAACTACATGATTTGAGTAAGATTGACTTAAATTTGTCAAGTGTTGCACAACTGTAACACACTTATCGGTTGCACAAACAAACAAATGTATAATTGTAATACATTTGTAAGCCTGACTTGTGTGACAATCCTTGTTTTCTTGGGTGCCATGTTTTGGGTTTCAGGCCTTAAACAGCGACAAAGTTTGTCCATGTCTTAAACTGTAAAAGACACACTTGTTGGGGCGAAATCACAATACATCTGTGCGAAGCTTGACAGTTTAGTTTATTGCCTTCCAGTCTTTGTGAAGCCCTGAAAAGCATCGCTTTACATTTGTGAATGTCTTCAGACGTCGCCATCAGTTCAAACCCCGTTATCAGTGTAAAGTCCCAGAGTGCACCTGTACTCGCTCTCAGCTGTCAGATCTCTGAGCTCCCGGTGTGTTCCCGTGCGATGTTCTTCAGATATCTGTCTGCGTCATTAGGCTGGGAAAAGCCTATATCTGCTCCCAGGAGGGCGGCTAATGTCAGTGAAGGTTTTCATATCCACTGGAATGGCAGCATGTTGTAGAGGAGGCCAGGATGTAGAAGAGATGCAAGTGAAACTTGATGATCCATGGTATGGATTTCTTTAAGATTTTTTTAAATGGAGAGGCTTTGGTTGCATTTTAGCCAATCAGTATTTTCATGATGTTTGTTTCAGTCTCTAAGTCTTCTGTGAAACATCCATCCATCCATCCATCCATCCATCCATCCATCCATCCATCCATCCATCCATCCATCCATCCATCCATCCATCCATCCATCCATACATCCATCCATCCATCCATACATCCATCCATACATCCATCCATACATCCATCAAAAAGATTACTTTTAGAAAGTGACGGTCTTTCACTTTTAAGCGGGCTTAATTTCTTCCACAAATCTAAAACATTACATGTCAGCCATACACTTTCCAGCCTAAAGTGCATCCTGGTGACCCCCCGGTGGTCCTTCACAGGGGCTTCAGGGGTTTCCTGTAAAGTGCGGATTAGTGTGGCTTTATTTAAGTTTAGAAAAACTCCAGCAAACCTCCAGTGTACAGACAGTTGCTACTTTAAAATTTAACACTTCTGTCCTCTTCTCCTGTCTGTCCTCACCCCAGGCATCATGTCCACTACGTAATCCCATACGATGGGGACCACTCCTTAGTGGACTCTTCAGAGAACTACTTTGTGAGTGACAGTGTGACCAAGCAGGAGATGGACTTGATGTTGGGTCTGCTGTTGGGTTTCTGCATCAGCTGGCTGCTGCTGTGGCTTGACGGAGTCCTGCACTGCGCCGTCAGGGCCTGGAGGGCGAGCCGGTACTACGGTAAGATGCTCACAGCCTGCCTGGAAACGGCTGGGGACTCACCGACTCAGACGCAGAATTAATCCAGGTTAGATGCGGAGAAGAAGAATTTGCTAATCTTTTTTTAAGTTAAGTGAGATGCTAGGCAGCTAATGTTCAAAGAAAGAGGACATGCACTCACCAGCCACTTTATTAAGCACGCCTTCATAATATCAGGTTTAGACCCTCTTAATTCTTAGAAACTGCCTTCGTTCTTCCTGGCATGGATTCAACAAGGTGTTGAAAATGTTCCTCATAGATTCAGGGTGGTTTCAGGTGGTTTATTAGTTCACTTTCACACTGCACTGAGTGAAACACTCCAAACCCTTTGAAAAACCTGTTCACCTCCTCGCCTGTGGTGGCGCTGCACCAAGGACCACTGAAGGAAACGACACGAAAACCTCTGGAAAAGACATGAGCACGTTTTTCTTCTTCACAAAATGTAAACAAAAATGGAATGTCATCGGATTTTAGCGATTGTAAGATTTCTCTTTTGTCGTTAGTAAAACACCACGACTCCGTTGTCCCGCTGGCGTTAGACTCACACTTTTGTTTACGCTGTATTTACCCAGAATGCCCTGCATTGTAGCTCACTTCCTGCTTTTGGAGCAGTCTCAGCATCCACATAAGCATTCGAACTGCACTTCAACTGAACCAAGACTAGGCTTGTAGGCGCACCAGAGTTCACTTTTATGGTCCACATCAGAGAGATGGTAAACTATGAACAACTAGGTTCTGGTGTTTAGTTGGTGCTACGGAACCCAAAGTGTGCCAAGAAAATATTTCCCACATCAGACTGTCATGCTGTAGCATGACAGCAGTCATGAAAGTTCCGGCTGACATCAAGACATGAGATCAGGCGACGTGTTCACAATTTCCTATCATCCAGTTATGGTGCAACTGTAGAAAACGTAGCCTCAATTTTAACACCACTTGGTGTAAATTAATGGACCGTCTCCAAGCTAGAAACCAAAACTCCTCAATCTGTAAAATTTATTATCTACTAACAAGTCAGGAAACCTTTTTTAAAAACTAAGCTGGTATGATGCTGAATCAGAATCAGTCGATCAAAGTAATCTGTCAACAGGCAATAGCTTTTCCACATGAATTCAGCTGAGACAAGCCACATGACATATATCTTTATTGCCTGAAATAGTTACTCTCCTCTTAGTGCGTGTCCCTTCCTGGCCATATTGCTTTCAGTGCAACTCTAAGCTGTAAATACATCAGCTGGGGTTTGTAACACATCCAGCTGGGTGTAACTGGAGCTGTAACAATACAACAAATGTGAATCTAAACAACTACATATGATCTGAAATTTTCTTAAGAAAATGTTTTAAAGGTAAAGTCGAGATTGTTTAAAACAGGTATAAAAGTAGTTAATTAAAATTAATTCCAAACAAATCAGGATAACGCCTGCCTCATTTCTAATGAACAAAACCTACATTAACCAAGATTAGGATGATACAGAACAGAAGCAGGTTAATTGAACTTTTTGAATACTATATCAACTAAAATACAGAAATAGCTTAGTGATCAGACGGGATGCTGTTTAGAAGAAATAATATTTTACAAAAGATTGTTTCGACTGTGGGGATAAATCTTACACATAAGTGAAAACCAGGTTATTCTGGAGCAATGTAGCACTTCCAAATATTCCAAATACGTTCTTTGGACTTATTGGCAAAAATCGGCAGGGTAGTGTTGTTAAGTGCTTGTACTGTTTTTAGAAGCAGCTGAGGCCCAAACATAAGTATAACTATATGGAAAATGTGAATTTTGCATCATGGGTTTCGCTTAACCATGTGTAGTGAAATGTGTAGTGGGTTGCCATGTATTGAGAAATGAATTGAAAAAAAGACCAGACAACGGACCTGAGTGATGCATCGTTCTATAGCTGATGCAGTGTGCCAGATTTTCTTCTAATGGGTCCTTCAAAAATAATTTTACTGCCACTGAAATGTCTGTCCGACTGCGTTACCTTTGGTAGTTTTCATTGATTCACTTGAATTAATAGGAACAAATTGGATCTCAGCGTGCCTATAGGCGTAATTTAAAATATGTTTTTTGTTAGATCATCTCACCTCTCTTGGGTAGTAAAATCTAGAGGAATCAGGGATGACTCAAGACGTTTGGACCAAACATTAATTTCATGGGTCCCAGTTGCTCATACAGGGACAGTAGGTATATCCTCACCAAATCTAGATGAATGGAGATTAAGGCTGTCAGAAAATGATTTCCGCCTGAGCAGTCACACGTCCCAGAAATGTCTGAAGAAAATCTCTCGTATTGGTTAATGCTGTCACAGTAAATAGACCCGAGTTTGAAGTTGGCTCTATTAGATGAGCCATGCTTGCGTCACAACGATTGAGATATTTCACTCTCGCCATCTGACGCTCTGCTCTGAATGCCTCATTTCTGCACTCTGTGTGCGTGCGCGTGTGTGTGTGTGAGTGTGTATTGAAATCCAGCTTCGGCTGATAGTTGCTTCTTAATTTCCTGCTTTGCGTCTCCATGCTAACTGGAAAATATATCTGTCGTTTCCCTTGTCGTCTCTCTCCGCCTGACAGATAAAGGAAGCATGTCGTTTTAGAAAAAAAAGGTAATGAGACAGAACATGCGGTGCGTAGTTCATCACCACCGTGTGATGGTGTTATCTGGCAGACACAAAAGAGGAAATAAAAGGCTAAATAGTCTAGTCTTTTGGATATTATATCCAAATAAGACTGAGCTGCGATGTTAAAACTCTCTTGTAGAAGTTTTAACATCCTGTCTTGTGGTGGTTTCTCTAACTTTTCTCACAAATGGCCGTTTACTGTTATAGCCTGGTTAAATATAAAAGCAGAGCCTGGAAGATGCTGTTGTCTCTGTTGCTTTATAAATCACAGTACTGGGGTAAGGCTGCATGGTGGAGCTGGCCTGGATCTGCAGTTTTAAGAGTAAAGTAGGTGATATGTGACCTGGAAACTGGGAGCGCTGTGGAAAAGCTCCTCAGGCAGGATGAGGAAAAAGTGTCAGCAATAAAGATGACCGTTAATACTTGGAGGCATAGTTCTGCGCAAAATTTTTTATTTTATTTATTTATTTATTTTTTTCCAGATTTAAAGGAGCCACGCATGTATGTAATATTTTCAGGTGGTCTCTATCAATAGTTTTTAAAGCTTTTGTTTTTCTTTTTACTTTTTTTTTCCCTCTATGTGCAGCTGACTGAAAACTGTTTGCTGACAAGAAATGTGTATTTTTGCATAAAATTGAAATTTGTAAAGCTAATAATAATAATAAGAGATAATATTAATAGTTAAAGAGCCATTAGATCACATAGCTATTTCTGTGGCATTGAAAAAGTGTGTCAAGATAACAGTTGTTTGCTTAAATATTATTTTATCAGTCTAGTCAAATCGTTTTTTACTTGCATTGTGCCAAATTACATCAATGTGAAAGTATTTTAATTAACTTTTTAGCAGAGAAAGCAATAATATTTATTCAGTTTTTTTAATAGGTCTTTTTATCAAAATATTCTACCACAACTGGCTCTTTGAAGACATTCATGATGTTGAATGTGTCGGAAAAAGATTTTGACGCGGCTGCATTACATCAACTGAAGTCTTGTTTCACGTTTTTGTTTTTCTCGCTGCTTTGGTTTTAAGATGATCTGTGGATATTTTGTCCTACTATGTTCTTTCCTCATTTTTAAGCACACTTTGCCTTAGGCCGGGCACAAGGACTAAATGGGTAAAATTTAAGTCAAAGTGAAAAGAAAAAGTCTAAAAGATTGTCAAGAACATGCATCACTCATTTAAAAGGTTCCAATGAGTTTGTCTTCTTCAAAGCACAGCAGAAAAAAATTTAGATTGCACATTACTTTTACTGCTAGGGATTGTTAGGGATAAAATAGGGCCCATTATAATTAAGCTATATTTAGCTGTTTAATTTACGGTGGGACTTTAAAAAGCTTTAAAAAAAATCAGAGAAAATGGAGCAACTTTGTTGACTTTGTTTTTAAATGCCGTACTTTGCCTTCTTCACTCAACAATGACTGGATTTAAAGTTTCCGACCTGTTTCTGCTGATTTCTCTTGATATTTCCAGATAAATAATCATGTGGTATTTTTGGTATCTCACACTGAAAACCAAGAAACTTTACATGTTTGTGTAAGTGTTTGCCACTGAAAGAAGGCAGTATTTTCAGTGTTTCAAACACCGTAGAGATGTGGTCTGATTTTTATATACTTTTTTTCTTTTTTTGCAGTAGGTAGGGAAGCCCGTCGCCTTTTGGACTTGACCCATTAGTTTGTGTGTGTGTGCGTGTGTGCATGCAGGTGTGTGTGTGTGTGTGTGTGTGTGTCGGTTTGTTTGTAATACCTTGTGGGGACTATTTTCCTGACATATACTACGTTGTGGGGACCAATTGCTCCTTGAGGGGACCGGAGCCTGTTCCCCACAAGGGGAAACCCTGTTTATGGGTCAGGGGTCAGATTTAGGGCTAAGGTATGAATTGAGTCTTGGTTAGGGTTAGGGTTAGGGTTAAGTATGTGATGGTTAGGATTAGGAAAAGGGTAAAGGTAAGGTTTAGGCTGTAGAAATGAATGGAAGTCAATGAAAGTCCCCACAAAGATAGCCACGCAAACGTGTGCATGTGTGTGTGTGTGTGTGTGTGTGTGTGTGTGTGTCTGTTGCCTTCAGTACTGGGTCACACACATTTAGCCTCTGTGAGATGAAGAGTGAAGGTGAGGCTGAAAGAGCAGGGAAGAGTGTGTGTGGAAGCAGGATGAGGATGCTGTCACATCTCCACCCGAATTTACACACACACACACACGCATGTACACACACTTTCTCTTCTGGAGCTATAAATAGCACAAGAGAGCAGCTGGAATGGCAAGTAAGGAACACACACACACACACATGGAGTGCATTGAAATGCACAATGATTCCCATTGCTTTTTTCCAGCTCTAACTCCTCCCCCTTTTGCTCATTTATTGAATCTGCTCCTGAGCCATTTCCCTCCTGATGCAACATTTTTTTTTCTTTTTTTTTTATTCCGTACCACCAGTTTACTGTTAAATCTGACGCCAGATGCTCTTTTTGGAAAGACGCTTGAAAAACAAGTGAGAAAACGATAAATTGGCACTGGTGTTAACGTCCCCCCTGTTCTAAAGCAGGCATAACAATCACATCTTAGCTCTCTCTCTCTTTCTCTCTCTCTTTTCTTCCTTTGCTCTGTAATTTCCCCTGACTTCATCCTTTTATTGAAATGAGAGAAACCTGCCTTTGTTGCCCCCTTTCCTTTGGATACCCTTCAGAGCAGTCCTTGTGGACAGCACAACCATTCACAGCTATAAATAACTTCCCTTGTCTCTCTCTCTTCCTCTCTGTCTTTCCTCCTCATCCCCAATCCTACCAGCAACGCCTCCTCCTCTCCTCCACCTCTTTCTGTTGCACATTCTCAGGCACAGCCATTTTTTATTTATTTATTTTTTAACCGGACTCGACGTCTGGGGCTCTCCCTGCCGTCTTCGCGGACCTCACTTCGCCTCACCAGCTCCAATTTGAATCTGTGCTCCGCCATTACATCCCCCACACTTCATATTACACCCCACATACACACACATGCATAAAAACCTGCTGCCTCACTTTCTATCTTGAAGCATTCTGTGTGCAGTGTGTGATGGTTGATAAATCAGAAAGGTGGAACAGGTGAAAGGTCAAGGCTGCTGTCACCATGTAACAGTTCACGACATCATCTAATATTTTCATAACGCATTTTATTGTTTACTGCAAGTAGTAGACTGTAAAAAAAAAAAATTCAGTGTCCTTTATTGTAGCGCACGATGGATCTGATTTTTATGCAACTGGTCAGTTTGACTGCCACTGTGGAACCGCTGGAAGACGATGGCGGCAAAGAAGGATTCTACATGAAATCAAGAAACTCATGCACATCCTCTTCAGGAGACTGAAAGACACTAAGCTGCATTTCCATTAACCTTATAATTGCATAAATTGAAATTACGAAAATTAAATTTGCTTAATTTTGAAAAGGAAAAAAAAAGGTTTTTTGATAAAAAGTTGTTCTACGGTGAGGCGGTTTTTCAGCCGTATCAAAACAGATGTAGTCCGCAGATACTACTCTTAACTCTTTTTAAAAAAAATCTGTTTAATTTTCATCTGTTTGATGTGTTTTTCTTAATATATGTTGCTTTTAGCTTCTTTGTGCGAGCACTCTGTGTCGCCTCTGGGTGAAAGGAGCTGAATAAATGACGTTGCCTTAGTGGTAAAAACGACGAAGATGAAAGCAGCAAGCAGTCTTCTTCACGACTTGTAGTTTGTTTGGTTTTATTTGTGTTTTTTTGGACAATGTGCAGCTGGCTCCACAAGAACACGCACAGCAAATAAAAAGTAGTGCGTCATTCAGCGTGCTGAATCCAAAAGCACTTCTGGAAAAGAAGACTACAATTTCCCCAAATGTAGCCGCTCCCAAGCATAAGGGGTTTGTTGCGCCAACGCCTGAATAAGACGCAGACGTCTCCTCCGACAGACGAGCGCTTAGTGTCATGGCTTAATTATGAATATAATATGATATAATCACATGTGGCTGCCAGGGTTTTTCACGAACAAACTTATTCACTTGTGATTTTAATTAAACTTCCTATTATATGGAGCATTAGCAGAATATAAATAAAGATTTGCGCGCATTTGTAATCGAAACACAGCCAGTGTCTTCTGTCAGAGGCTCCTTCAAATTTGCTGTGACACAGACCACTACAGGAGATCCTCCTTTCCCACAGCCATCTACAACAACTCTTAACAAAAGCATTTATTTTCCCTTTTGGATCAATAAAGTATTTTTGAATTGAGCTTGAATTTAAAAACTACTTAAGTATTTTATGTAAAAGAGGCCAGTTCTGGCTAATTTACAGATTATTCTACGTCGTTTTAGAAATCCATATAATATACTTGAAATGATTCAAATATGAGCATGAGACTTTGTCAGAATAATAACATTGATTGACAACTTTATACTAAAAAAGGGAAGCAAATATGCAAAAAATTAACATCATTTTATTGATATATAAAACCAGATGTGGAACTGCATGTTATTCCCATGTTGTCATGGCGTTATTAATGTAATTTTCAAAAGCATAGTTGCTATAAAATACAGAAGTACAATCATTAATATTGTATAATCAGCCTGATGTGGCTAAAAACACACACACACATTTGAAGTGCATGTGTTGGGGAAGGCTTTCACCTCTGCTACAAAGGTGGAAATGTAACATCAGTGCTTCATTGTTCTGATAAATATCTGAAATATGAAAGCAAGGATAACTGAGAAGAGTTTTTTTTTTTTTTAAATATACCGCTGTACATGATAAAACTCTGTTTGTGCTTGTGAATTTGGGTTTTTGTATCGTCTGGATAAAAGTCTCCGTGTTCTCTCTGGTCTTCTCCCTGCAGATACTCCATCCTGGTCGTGGTTACCGCAGTTCTGCAACCTCCGAGACCTCCGTCGCCGAGCCCAGCTAAGACAGCTGGAGGACTCCAGCGGCAACATGGTCCACATCAAGCAGAAGCTCTACCACAACGGCCACCCCAGTCCTCGACACCTCTGACTCTAAAAATCACAAAGAGAGAGAGAGAGAAAGAGTGAGAGAGAGAAAAGAAAAACAAATAAGAATGAAAATGCAAATCTTCCCCTTGAATCTCTCGTACATTTTAAAACACCTCCACTTGTTCTTGCCAAAACTTTACCCCACGGCCAAACTTTGCCTCAGAGACCTGTGAAACTGCCCCCCTGAACCTCCTCTGTTCATGATGTGGTCCTCTTTCAGAACCTTCCAACCGGACTTTCTTTTGACCCTGAACCTTTCTCTGTCAGCACTTAAAAAAAAATCCCAAAATGGAATGAGATTTTACTTTCTTCCCACTAAAAACCTGGTCTTAAGTCTGTGTCCTCCACCGTGGGAGGAAGAAAACATTTTTAAGGGTGTTTTTTTTTCCTGTATAAAGACATTTTCTGTGTTTATTGTTAAACTTGGCATGCTCTTTTAGAACAGGGTGGGAAGAGTATGGAACGGGGAGGTGAGACTGGGGTTTTTTTTGTGTTTTTTTTTTTTTCCCCTCTGTCAGATGGGACTTTTGGTTACGACAGGCGGGTTTGTGGTTTGTTTTGTGATGGTTAGACTGCTGCTTCTGTAAATAGGTAAAAATACATAATTTAACAGGCCAGTGGGGAGATTTCTGTGTGAGTTGTTCAATCGTAGAAAACTTGGACACTTGGACTGCGTGAGTAAACGTTAGGAAGAAGAAGAAGGAACTGGAAATTGGATGTGAAACGTGATTTCTGCTAAAAACACAGATTAATTAGCTTTGTTACTTAGTGAATTAACTGAATGTATTTTTTTTTTTCTCCTGTAAATAACGTGAGAGGGACGGAGGCTATGTGCAGCTGCGGTCAGATTTTCCTCTGCTAATTTGTCATTGTTCAGTTGACACACGAGGAGAGGTAAACGCCAACCAGACGGACTCAGCTGACGCGTCCGCAGCGCTTTGGAGGAAATATTTGCTCCCCTTGAATTTTGACACATTCTACCACGTCACCACCACAAACGTCAGCATCTTTTACTGGGATTTTAAATGATAGACCAACACAAAGCGGTCCTGGAAGTGTTTGCAAAATGAAAATTACACCTGATTTGAAGTTTGTTTTTAATTTTTCCTTCTTGCAGGGCTATTAAACACAGATAGTCTTTTAAGAATAGTGAACATTAAAAAAGTAGATGATGTGCTGTTGCCTTTTGAACTAATTGTTGTCAGCTTCTTTACAAAATAATTCAAGCACCATGAAGTTGTACGAGAGCATTAAACATAAGTTTTCAAGCACCGCCAGAGATTTTCAATTTGGGCTTTGACTGGGTCATTTTAATACACCAATATGCCTTTAGTGTAAACCATTAACTTTCATCGCTTCGACATCTTTAGCTGCCTCCAACAATTTTTTCCGTCTAGATTATTCAGCTCTGTTCATTCATCTGCATGGTGCGGCGCCAGAGCTGCAGGTGGCTCTTTATAACTCGGCTTAAAACATTGCAGAGACAACAAACATTTTAAAAATGTAGATAAAACAAGTGCAGATTTGAGCAGTTTATTTTTAGCACTGAATAAATCCCACAAGTGTCAAAAATACTTTTTTTTCCCTCATTACCTTGGAAACAAAGTGCTTTTTTTGTTTACATAAGATCCCCCCAAACATCAACATCCCATAGAAGAAAATCGATCAATCTTCCCTTTGTAAAAAGTTCATGTTTTTTCTTAGCTTTATAACCTAAAACAGAATAAAATGGTATTAATAAAATACCACAAATTTCCTATTGTAGATATGTATTGAAAGTCTTTTAGTAGTCCTTTCACTAAGTTTTATGTCAATTGAATGGACTGTGGGCAAAAATGGTTCTTTGGTTTGTTTGTTGTAGGCCCCTGTGACAGCACATTGGGGCCGATGTAGATAGAAAAACAAAACTAAAGTTCCCCCAATTTTTTTTTTTACATTCATCTCAAATTTTTTAGAAAAACCCTGAAAATTTCCGAACTCCAAAAGCTGAAAATTTCCAAGAAAAAAAAAAAAAAAATCTGAAATTTTGAGATGAATTTTCCTAGAAAAAACTTGAACATTTTTTACTTTTGGAAATTGTATGAGTTTTAAAAGTCGAAAATTTTCGACTTGAAATGATTTTCTCTCCCTTTCACGACGATCTTCTACTTTATTTTGGTCTATGACATAAAATCCCAGAAAGTAAAGTTTATCCCTGTGAGCTGACATTATGTTGTTGAGTTCAAGTTAATCCTTTTGCAAGGAAATATACTGTTTTTTGTTGTTGTTGTTTAGTAGAGTCATATCAATGTTCTTTGAGTTCTCATTATCCAACCCTCTCACTAACCCAGAGCAACCAGCCTATCAGCAGAGGAAACCCTCACCCAGCCGTACCCGACCCCTCTCTGTCCAGACATTGCTGTTGTGAGAATGAAATGTTTGTTTTATTAAAAGTGCCATTGAAGCACAACAGTGACCCCTGACATTTGATTGTGTTATTCCAGTCGCGTGAAAGAGAGAGAGAGAGAGAGAGAGAGAGGTTATTTCTGAGTGCAGATGGTCCCGGTTTTATTTAGTAAAAATCAAGCAGAAACAAGGAAGAGCGACGACTGACAACGTGGAGTTTAGAAAAGCCGTCCATTATGGTTCCGTGGCACGTTTAAAATAATTGTTCTTCTTAATGTCCAGGAACAAAGGTGGGTAGAGTAGTGAACAAATTACTCTTACTCTGATGAGAAAGAGTAACTCTATTTCATGTTTTTACTCAAATAAAAGTAAAAAGTAGCCATCCGATCAAAACATCAGTCATTTCATATCTTAAAATTATATTAACGTTAAAGTTTGTCCCTGAATTGATTTCTCTAAAAAACGAAACTGGTGGGTATTTTTAGTTCTGATGAGTTTGTTGGTCAACAAAACAAACAAGTTTCAACATAAAAATACTCAAATGGCAACTGGAACTTGCTTAACTCAACAGCTCTTATATGATGGGTGTGTAAAATACTAAAATATTAACTAAAAGTTGTAGATTTTTAGATAAAGTCAGGCATACAGATTCAATCATTCAATTTTAAACAAAAATAATTGTCTTAAACAAGAAACAAACATCACATGTAGTTCTTTGTTTAGCTTCCATTTTGTTTTGTGGGTTATTGAACTATTGTTCTTCTAAATTTATTTCAATATATGTCGCATCCTAACCTTATAAAGACGTGTGAGACATCCCAGAATTTGTACAAAACATTGGGAACTGAGATTTTTATGCCATGCTGCTCTTTGTTTCCCAGCCTTACACTCCTTTTGTTGTTTTCTACTTTCTGCTGATCTTTAAACTGAGCGTTTATGGAACTGAAAAAGCTTCAAGGAAGTCAGAGAAAGACTGAATTGCTGCTAAGTTGCAGCAGTTAGAGAAAATGTCCCTTACTGCTGCCGTAAAATGACATACGTCTTCTGTTGACTTGGTGGCCCATTTCTCTGTTAAAATGTTTCTCTTCTGGTTTTCAGGCTTTTCCATTTACCCACCAGACAACCTTGTTTGCAAATTGTCCACCTGGACAACAATGTTCATCACTGCAAGCAGAGCAATTTTACCCTCCTGTTTAAAAAAAAAAAAAAAAAAGCACCACAATGTAATAAGCAGATTTTAAGTCTCACCATGCTTCCCACAATCAATCCTTGCAGTCCAATTTAAACGAACTAAAGCAGTCTAGTTGTACGCAGCCCTCAGGGTTCTTCAAATACCTTTTCATAAAAGGTACCAGTGTAACTCTGACACCTCTGTGGTTACAGTATTGAACAATTTACACGCCATTATGCAACCAGAGCTGGAAAAGCCTTCTCTAGAGACCGACGCTGTCCTTTGGAGCGGTAAATCAACTCGGCGACAGCAGCACCGCCTGGATGTAAATGAAATACTGTACTTGCTGTCTCCCGACAGAGGACAATTTATTAACTTTTTAGCCTATCTCTTAACGGCAGACTCTTTGTTTTCAATCTCATCTTACTGGATATTAGTCAGTCAAATTGTTCAACCAAGTAACTGATAAAGAAAAACAGAATTCTTAAAAATCAGGTTTAATCTTGCCTAGTAACGCAGAGTGCCTAAATTTGGTTTGCGATCAAAGCAATATAATGAACTACAGTAGCCTAGTCAAAGTCCAGGCTAAATTTCACAAAACATTGATCATTTTCCTTCCACCTCACAATTTTACTAGCCTGGTCATTACCTTCCTATGCTATTCTGCTCAATTCTCATTGGTCTTCAGTGCTCCACCTGGGCTTTCTCCCATTAAGATGGATTTTAACCAAGCAAGTCAGCGAAAGAAGGAGAGGTAGAGAATGATCACGCCTGAATGATCACGCCTGTTTTCTGCACGGCTCAGGATTTGCTCGTAGTTTTAGTAATGGCAGCGAAGGAAGTGAAGGAAGCCTTTCAGTCTGTGTTGGCCACAATTCCAAATATTGGGTTAATGTTCGCAGCCATTTTGTTCTGCTTGCCACTTCTCTCTTTGCAGTGGAGGATAACTGTTTGCCATGCAGGCAATTATCAGTAAACTTCATAGTGTCGAACTGGTGCATTATAACAGTCACAGACAAACACAGTCTGCAACTGTTTCTCAACAGCAGAGTTCAGATCTTCTGCACAAAGCCAAGCATAGAATAAGGGGCTGGATTTTACCAACTGTCTGTTGTATGGGGCTGGCAACAGCCCCACAGAGGAATACATGAAGAAAAGCTCTGAGGTCCTCACTAATTTTGCCTACAAAAGCAGATATCATCAGTCATGAATGTTTGATCAAAAATAAAGAGGAAAAAAAAAAACACGGAATCATCAAAATTCTCTTGGCACAGCAGATGAACTCTTGTGTGGGAGTGTATCACGTTAGGACAACTTCATGCTTCAGGCAACCAGGAGAACATCAAAAAGAACAAACTTACAACCCCAATTCATCCTGCAGACTAATTTGATTAGATATTAAAGCAACAGCAGATCTGCACAGCGTCTATTCTGGCTTACTGGCCTTAAAGGGTCAGTATTTCCAAGATAATTCAGGGAACGTTAATTGAGTTCCTTTTGTGGGAAACAGCAGATGTGAAGGGAGGTTTTCTGGTCAGATGAGGAAAAACTGAACTCACTCGCCTACATGCAAAGCTGTATGTGTGGCGCAGAAATAAAACTTCACTCTGAACACACTATCACTATGGTGACATAAAATAGATCAGCAGGAACTAGACGTTACAAAATTCTGAGATGATGGGAAGATGGATGGAGCTAAATACCAGCAAATCCTGTTAGAGGCTGCAAAAGACCCGAGACTATGGTGGATGGTCAACGACCCTAAGCATCCAATCAAAGGTGCAGTAAAATTTTGGATAAATTTATCTGTTAGGATGACCTAGTAAAAGTTCAGACCTAAATCTAATTAAAAGATGTGGCATCTCCTGATGTTCACAGATGTCTATATCCAATCTGACTGAGCTTGAGATTTTCTCTAGATGTGCAGAGATTGTAGAGACGCTGCAAAGACTCAACAGAGTTGGAAACTAATGCACACAGTCCAGATTTTCATTTGTTAACCATTTTGAAAACATTTGCTGCAGAGGTGGCATCTCCAACGCTGGAATTCACTGAGCTCCTAAAAGTGACCCATTCTTTCACAAATGTTGGTAAAAACAGTCTGCATGTTTAGGTGCTTAATTTTATACACCTGTGGCCATGGAAGTGATTGGAACGCCTGATTCTGATCGTTTGGATGAGTGAGCAAATACTTTTGGCAATATAATGTAAATGGCATTATAGGCTTATTTAGGTTATGTTTGTCTGATATTTAAATTTATTTGATTTTCTAAAATGGTTAAAGGTGACAAGTAAAGCAAAAACAGAAGAAATTGTTACATCACTGTCAAAAATGAGATTTGAAGTTACTTAACTCACTAACAAACATGTTTCTTTTGACTGTTTAGAACATGAGCTTTGTAGTTGACAGCCACTGACTTTCAAGGAGTTATAAAACACTAATAGATAACTCTGCACGCTGTCCTGGAGGTCTATGTATAGATCTATGTAACTGACCCTCGTTTGAGCAATGAGAGTTGTGAAATAGCCGCATTCACACGCCGCCTTCAATGCATCTCGGATATGGTTCATCGTTACAAATGTTTCACATTTGTTGAGTAGAACCTGCGTTATCGGTAAAGTGTACAATAAAGGGAAGACTTTTCTAAAAATCAAAAACAAACTGGTAAAATACTCACACTGGATACTGTTTTTATTTAAAATATCTCAATAGCATATGTTTGGGTATTCTGATGACCGAGCAGAGGGACGACACATGAACGCGTCAGAGACGCAGACGTTTACGTACAAAGCGGGCGCGGCTTCTGCGCACAGTTCAGATTCAGGCTGCTTTCACTGATGCTAAAGACAATTACAGAGCAGTAATAACTGTCATACACAGATACTTTCAATTATTTATTATCAACACAACTGGGAACCATGTCTGTCGTTTGTTTGAGCCGAAATATTCTGGCTGTTAGGAATTCTGGCATAATGGTGGTGAGTACGGAAGTTTTTATCTAATTTTGGGTTAGAGCTCATGAAATTGCATCTTCTGTGAGAAATGTTCCCAAACGAGAGCTTTCGTGCGTTCATTCACCGTTTAGCCTGCGCTAAGCAAAAAAGTACTAAAACTCTCACTAATTTAAAACAGTGGTCACGACATTCTCGGACTACATATGTGTACATTTTAAAAATAAATCATCATATTGGCTTATTAGTAAATATAATAACTGTATTGAAAAATGACACCGTTTTATCATTATCTGCATCTTTTTGTCAGTAATCGTACTTAAACTGACCTGTTAGTTGTTTCCTCTTCTCTTTGAAGCTGTTGTTTAATAAGTTTTCAAAGATGGGTTTCAGGTACAAAAATATAAGCCTGCTTGTGAAAAGGAATCAAAAAACACTTTAGCTTTTATTATTACTTTTAAGTTCAATTGTCCTGAAAAAGTCAGTTAGGTAATCATAGGACGGCTGTGATGTAACTCATCCTTGTCAGTTCACCCAATCTGCCACTAGGGGGAGACGCCATACTTTGTAATTTAATGATATAATAGAAACATCCAAAACACTACAAATTATGAAACTTTTGATCATTCTTTGTCACTTTTTTATGATTCCCTGAAATATTTTCCCTTCAACTGTCGCAGTTAATATGGACATGAATCTCCAAAGTCTTATTATTTCTACGTTGAGTAACGTTTCCTTATGATGCATATTATAATTCTAGTACGTCTTAGAGAGAGGGATTCAGTCATTTATGAATGTGAGAAAACAAGAAAGTGGCCATTGAGTTCTGCTCCGATACAACACCCTTCAAACCTTTTGAGAAATCAAATTTAACCTCTGTATAGATATTGAACTCATGAGGAAAATTCAAGTTAATAAATGATCGTTTAAAAAAATATTACTGTAGGTGGAATATATCAACAGAACAAAACTTTCAGACACGCTTACCCGTAGGGAGGCTGGTGTCCATATCCAGCGGTCAATGGGTGAGAGGCGAGGTACACCTTGGACAGTTGCCATTCCAGCGCAGCTGGGTCGTAACATATTATCATATTTTTATCCCAGAGAAACATAAAGTCTTAGCTTATTAATTAGAAGTTCCTAAAAACTCTGATCAACTTAAAAAAAAAAGAGGTATAAATTTGAACATATTCCAGTTAGATTTATTTTAAAAGGGTTGTGGCAGCAAAGTTTTTTTTTTTTTTCTCTAAAAAACAATATATATTTTTTTAACCAGAGACTTTTTTCCCTCTATGAATTAAAACACTGAAATAGTACTGACTTAAACGTGTGAGATTTTACTACTTTAATGAAAGGTGAATTTACTTTAAGGCTTTTAGGGCATCTTTTCAGAACAAATTTGTCCCCACTTGTAATAGCTATTGTTTAGTTGATACTTACTGTAACTGTTGTTTGGTTTCTGTGAGTCAGATGGTGCGTTACGCTCAGACCGCCGCTGTGCCGGCTCCTGAGCCCAGGATCAAGAAGTTCCAGGTGTACCGCTGGGATCCAGACACCCCTGGAGACAAACCCCGAATGCAGACGTATGAAATAGACCTGAACAAGTAAGTCACAACTGGATCAATGAAAAACAGTGTTGTTGTGTTGCATTGTCATTGGGAATGTTGCATCTGACGTTGTTCTTAACGCAGATGCGGTCCAATGGTTCTGGATGCCCTAATCAAGATCAAGAATGAACTCGATCCCACGCTTACATTCAGACGTTCCTGCCGTGAAGGTAGCAAACCAATTCTAGCTGATATCAATTTGCACATCACAGTGCCAGCCATTTTAAACTTAAAAAAAAAGAAAAGTAAGTCATCTGACGGACTTTCTGGCAGACTTATTGTGTACCAACCTTCTCAGGTATCTGTGGCTCATGTGCCATGAATATAAACGGAGGCAACACACTGGCCTGCCTTAACAAAATTGATACAAACACCAGCAAACCCACTAAAATCTACCCATTGCCCCACATGTACGTCGTCAAAGATCTGGTGCCGGTGAGTGTGGTGCTTTGACTTTATTTTATTTTTTTTCAAAAGCTACAGTACATTTCAGGAACATCAGAGCATCTCTCTAAATATGACCTTCTATTTCTATCCCCAACAGGATATGAGCAACTTCTACGCACAGTACAAATCCATTGAGCCATACCTGAAGAAGAAGGACGAGAGTCAGGAGGGGAAGCAGCAGTATTTCCAGTCAATGGAGGACAGGCAGAAACTGGTATAGTCAGACCTCAAATACTTCCACAGCAATCAGAATACTGGTTTTCACATCCTTGTTTAAGTGGCCAACTTGTCCAGAAGTGAAGACCACAAAGGCAGAAAAAGATCGTATCTGACTCCTGTTTGCCTCAACAGGACGGCTTGTACGAGTGCATACTGTGTGCCTGCTGCAGCACCAGCTGTCCGAGTTACTGGTGGAACGGAGACAAATACCTGGGGCCTGCTGTCCTCATGCAGGTCAGACATGAGATTCATATAGCTATTATTATGCAAAAGTTATTATTGGGCCGAAACGGATTAATCATGATTAATCTGATTAATCGTGATTAATCAATTATTGAAATAATCGTCAACGAATTTAGTAATCAGTTATCATTAACTGGAGTATGCAGGTGAAAAATCCCCAACATATTCATAGCAGTAACTTAGCCAAAGCTGTACAGAAATATATAAATTTTGCATTTAAAAAAAAAAACAGCTTGCTCTGTAAATATGTTTTAGACAAAATTCTTCAAGTTGTGTAGTCTCAGCTTCACTCGGTTCACATTTATCAAAGCAATGTTTTGGCATTGCATTTTACACAATGTTTATTTTCTTATTTACAAAAGGAATTCAATTATTTATTTATTTTTATTATTGTTTATTATTTTATTATTATTTATTGTTTTTATGTATTTCTAATATTGTATTAAAAAGGTTGAAAAATAAAAAAATGTCATTCTATGAAATGAAAAATCTACAGACTGCCGTTTTTTTTATCAAACTAATCGTCACAATAATTGATGGAATATTCAATTACTAGAATAATTGTTAGTTGCAGCTCTGTATCGATTGCAATGATAATTTGTGAACATAGAAGTGTGATTATTTTCAGTTAAAGACACAGAGTAAAAAGTGGGAAATAATTTTGTTCTGACAGTTTTATATGGCCTTTTGTTGAGGCAATATAACTTTTTCCTGTTTTTACTTCTCAGATTTGTTTAAAGTTTCACCTCTTGATGGTTATATTCATTTCCATGTCAAAGTTTGATAAGTGCACATGATGAAAACATGTACAAATCTCCAAACTTGGGCATCAAAGCAAAACACAAAGTCTACTCAAGAAGAAAGTAGTCTTAGCAAAATCTGTGGCTCGAATCCACAGAGAGTTTTCCTGGTCATAGCAAAATCTGCTGCTTAAATTTGAGTTTATTGTTAAAGATGTACACAGTCATTCCTCCAGGACAATGAGATGGTACCTGCAGTCGAATGATTTCCTTCATTTGGGTCAGACACTGAAAAAAATGCACCGCTTGTTATGGATAAACATAGAGGAGGAACATTTAAAGAGACTAGTTATGAATTTCATGTAATGATGTGAACCATATCGCAGTAACTTAACAATACACGGACAGATGAAACTAGAGATCCTCTAAAAGGAATCATTATTACTCTGAATTCTTAAATTTAGGCCGCTGTGGTGTTTTTCCACAGGCGTACCGGTGGATGATAGACTCCCGTGATGAATTCACAGAGGAACGTTTGTCTAAGCTTCAGGACCCTTTCTCCCTGTACCGTTGTCACACCATCATGAACTGCACCAAGACTTGTCCCAAGGTACCAAAAGCATTTAACAAACACATTTTGCCACAGAATTATGAGTTTCTTTGTCTCATTGTTCCATTCTTTTCAACAGGGTCTCAACCCGGGAAAGGCCATAGCAGAAATCAAGAAAATGATGGCGACTTACAAGGAGAGGAAAGCTGCAGCTTCATAAACAACAGTTCTGGAATAACCTGTGGGGCCTTAAGCTGGACACGGAGGAGGAGAAGCACCGACCTCAAACCTTCTGCAACATTAGCACTTTTAAAGACTTTGTTTGTTGTATGGGTGGAGTTGTGTGAGTGTGAATGTTAAAGGGAAATAAAACTGTAAATGTTAACAGCCGGTCATCAAATACATATTGTGTGCTTCAACATTGTGGACCACAGCTTTGTTAATTGTTTGGAAACAGAAAACAGGAGGCTTGCACGTTGTTGTATTTAATCTGGTAATTGTAAATAATGTATTCAGTAAAGATTCTTGGAGCTCCTAATGTTGTTTTGCATTGATTTGGTCAGATAAGACATTTAATCAAATGTTGTTCCAACCTAAGCTGCAATAAACTATATCATGAAAGATACAGAAAGGTGGAATTTTCTCATCCAAATGGATCCACTGAAATACTAAAGATTATCAAATATATTATATATTTGATACGTTTGAGAGGAGAAATAAAGGTTAAAAAACAAGATGAATATGCATTTGTAACTAGCAACATTGAGTCAGCTTACATAAATGGTACTGCTTACTTTTTTATTATTTAAAACATTTTCTAAATTAGGTGACTTCCTGGATGAAATTAGTTGCACTGCAATGTATTTAGGAGTATCAGAATTAGGGAGGAGTCTGAATACAAATACACACAATTTTCTAATTTTTTTATGTATATGTTCTTGTTACTTTGTATTAAATATATTTCAAAGAAATTATAAAAAACATTTATTTTTCGTTCAAGAGAGACAAACTGTCTCCAAATTAGCTGTAATTGGATTAAAATGCTTACCTGTCAAGTATGAGGTGGTGAGTGGGAAAGGAGCTTGGAGTGCAGGTGCACCGTAAGAGCAGGGCATGGTGGAGAAGAGGTGGAGAAAGACTACCGTAAGGGCAGGGGGTGTCTACCGTCAGAGGGGTGGGACGTGCTCCCCGGGACAGAGGGGGTAGAATGCGATGGTTTCCCGGCCAAAGCGGGAGATTTGACAGGTATGCTAAAAATGGCCACCGTCTTATTTGCTCTTTGATTGGTTACGCGTGTTTGTGTCTTTTGGATGATTCGGCTTGCCGTAGGAGAGTGCGACTGCGTCTTCAAATACACGTTTTGAAACAGAGCAGCCTTTCCCGTTAGAGGACTGTTTGTGGTTTTCAGGAAGCATGTAGAGGTTCTGACCGTGACCACAGGATGTACCAGCAGGGTAAATGTTTCTGTCTGATATTTAGCTGTTTCTTCCACAGAGGAACTGATGTAATGTGACTGCTAGCCGCTAGCCTCAGACAGAGTCAGCCACGGCTGCTACTCGAGTGTGTTTACAACGACTGTCAACTTACCTGCTGTTAGCTTTGTCTGATTTAAGGAGGAAAACAAACAAACAAAAAGCAAGTAAACAACAACACAAAAACAGTTTTCGTTCAGTAAAGTAAAAGTTATCTGCTTTGCCTGTTTACACTCTGCAATAATAAATCTAAAATGATCTACAAACTTTGCTGATACTTTAATCATAAATTGCTTATAAGAACATTGGTAAGGAAAATAACACGACCACTTAATTTTTAATATCCTTGAGTGTGTCTGGTTTTAACTACATTTTCTGACTACCACTACAAACAGAAAATATGGTTATATTGGGTAAATATTGTGACATATCATTCATATGGACCTCCATATTAAAATGTTATTAAAGTATACTTCATGCTAAACACCTTCAAGATCACTATTCCACCAACAACTACCTACTAATGTATCTCTGGCTTTCATTAGGGACTTCATGTGCAACACCAGCTGTAAACTTATTCAAAACAAATCCATCTGTTGTAATTTCTTTGTAGAAGAACTTTACAGTATAAAGTAAACAAGACCGTTTTGCTGGGGTCATCAATAGACAGATAGTGTGAAAAACAATTAAAGAGATGTAAGATATGTGTATATGCGACTGTAAACAATTACAGCATCACTGCTTACAGGAATTTTATTCACTAGGCCAAAGGTGCACACAGTGGCTTAAAGGTTCAGTGTGTAACAAATAGTGACATCTAGTGGTCAGATTAGAAACAGAAAATAACCTAAAATATGCTTAATTCACTTCTTAGTATTGCATCAAGCTGAACCGATTTTTTGCTCCATCTGCGGTTTTGGTGATTTTGAGATTGATCTTTTTGGGTACATAAAGTTTCTTTCTGCTTTGGGATGTTTCCAGTTTGTACTAACTGGGGAAGCATTTTGTATCTCTGTTGACAGTGTAGAGCCTGACCACACAGAGGACTTTTGGTGTGCTTTGAAATCATTCTAAGAAAAGGTCGACGACACCGAGTCTGGACAAACAATGAATGTATGAATTTAAGTGCATGAGGAGATGATATCAGGATCTGATGCGGAAAATAAGCATGCGATAATTTTGTAAGATGTACATGTTGAAGGATGTCTGCACATGTAGCCCTTTAAAAATGGACGCTGTGCAGAGATCAAAGGG